TGCCCGGCCACCCAGCCCGCGGCGGGCCCGTCTCTATCCTCCAACGATGACTTGGTGCCTTCTCCGTCCCCACCCAGCTCCCAATGGGGGCCGCCCCTGTTTCTGCCTGTAGCCCCTGGCACAGAGGAGGCATCAAGGGGGCGGGGACAGCTCGAGGTCAGACTCAGAAGGCTCAAAGACACTGCAAGAGTGAGCCCTGTGCCAGGCTGCGGACTTGCGGGGGGTGTCACAGGACAGGGGTGGGAGAGTGAGCATTTGATGGAACTTCCCCTTTTGCCCAGCAGCAGTAGGGGGCGTGGAGGATCCCAGGGAGGAGCCTGTGTCAGGGTCTTCGGCTAGGCCCTGCTTTCTGCGATGGGAGAAGGGGGAGGCCTCTCTCAGCCTCCTGAGGTCCTAGGGGACTGTGGAGGGTTCTTGTGGCTCTAAAATGTCTAGTGATGTCTGAGTGTGACTGTGGTTCAAGGATTTACAGGGTCAAGGATTTTAGTGTGTGTGGGGGGGGATTCGGGGACAACGTTTTGGAGATTTGGGGCCAAGGGCATCTTGGCTTGGGGTCTCAGCCCCCATGTACCCTCAACCCTCCAGGCCCTGGCCACCCCCAGAGGGATAAGGAGGGAGGCTCAATGTCACTCCGGAGGCTTGGCTGGCACAGGTGAACTCAGGCAACGTGTTCCCTGGCCTAGGCCTCAGTTTCCCCATGTATACAAGAACAGGACTGACCTTGGATCCCCCAAACCCCTGCCTGATGGGGGTCTGGGGAGCTGATACATCTGAAACTAAACAGGAGGTGGGACTTAGTTCCTCTTTGGGGAGAAGCAGGGATGATCCAACACACCCTCCAGTAAACGAGACTGGAAACTGAGGCCAGAATGAGACATGCCCAGGGTGACACAGGGACCTCAAGGCTGAGCTGAAGCCAGGGCCCTGGGCTCTGCATCCCCCACCCCATTCCAGCCTCGCCCAGCTCTGCCCTGGCTTGACCTGGTCAAGCCCCACCATGCACCCTACCCCATGGCTCCACCAGACACCCCCTGTGTCCCAAGCAGTCGTTCATCTTCCCTCAGCCTGGAACGCCTCTCCTCCTGATCACTGCTGTTCACTTCTCAGGGCAGCCTTCCAGCCTCCAGAAAACAAAATCCCCTCTGAGGCGGGCAGGGGTCAGGAGTTTGAGACCAGCCTGACTAACATGATGAAACCCCATCTCTATTAAAAATACAAAAATTAGCTGGCATGGTGGCGCGTGCCTGTAATGCCAGCTACTGAGGAGGCCGAGGCAGGAGAATCACTTGAACTCGGGAGGCGGAGGTTGCAGTGAGCTGAGATGGCGCCACTGCACTGCAGCCTGGGGGACAGAGCTAGATTCCATCTAAAGAAAAAAAAAAAGAAAGAAAAAAGAAAAGATCCCCTATGTCTGCCCACTGCACTCCCTCCCCAGACCCAACCAGTGGGGACAGCTGCGTCCAGGTCTGGGGGCTCCCAGACAGCCAGGCATAAGTGCTCTCAGCCCCTGGCAGTGCTGGCCCAGGACAGAGCCCTCAGGGTCTTCAGCTCAAGGCCCAACAGGAAACAGCACGGGTCCTCCCGTGCCTTTGTTCTGCGGGGCATTGAACGCTCAGACCTTCCCACCCTCTCCTGTCATTCCCTGCACCAGCCCTTGCAGAATCTTCCGCCTCCTCCCCATTTTACAGAGGAGGAAACTGAGGGTTGAGCGGCGAATTATTTGCCCTGGCTGCTCAGCCCGGAAAAAAAACCACTTCTGGCCCTGGCCGCCTCCCTTTCTGTGCTGTGAGCCTGTGTCCAGAGCAGGAAGGGCTGTTCCCAGCTGCAGGTGCGGGCTCTGTGTGTTAAACCTTCAAATGGCCTCCAGGGACCCATGGAGGATCCAAGACACCTGGAGATGGGGACTCCTGCGACCCCTGGCCCTTCCCTCCTCTGGCCTTCGGTCCATGAGGGTGAATTAAGAGTGCGACCGACCGGGGCAGAGACACATGGAGACAGAGATTGAGAGACAGAGAACAGAGGGGGAGACAAAGAGAGAGGGACGTGGGGAGCACTGGAGTTACAGGAGGATCTGACGCTCTGCTGGGGAGACAGGGAGAAATGTGGGGAGATGCAGGGTCCCAAGTGCTCCCCAGTGGCCCTGCCCCTCCTCCCCTCTCCCCTCCCCTCCCCACCAGGCAGGACCCTCAGGGAGCTCCAACCTGGACCCGAACCCTGTGCCATCCTGGTGCATCTGCACCAGGCCAGGCTGGACCTGTGGGGTGGGGGCAGGCCTGGCCCCAGCCCGGCCACTGCCCTGGAAACCCCTCCTCCGCTAAGATGCTGATGTAACATCCAGGATTTGACGTTTTACTCTCCAATTGTGCAAATCCAGACGCAGGAGGTTTTAAGAGGCCGTTGCACCCTGCAATAAAGTGGGGGACACAGGAATCTTGGTCCTCGGCGTACCCTCTTCCCTCGGGGTGTTTCGCCCCCCCGCACACACAGCCCCTGAGCCCGCGCGGAGGCCCCACGCCCGGCGGCTGCCACTGGTCTCCGCCCCGGGCCGCCATTGGCTGTTGCCATGGCACCAGCCCGTCTTCCCGCGCCTTCATTGGCTGTCTCGTCCGCATCCCGCATCCCGCATCCTCCCCCGCTCGCGGTGGTCTCGCCCAGCGCTAGGAGCGGCGGCGCCGCCTGCCCAGGCCCGGACCGGGCTTTGTCCGCCCTGGAGCCCCTGCCTGCGCCGCGGAGACCCCGGAGCCGGCGCTCCGAGGCCACCCCGGGCCGGGATTTCCCGTGGGGCCCGCGGAGCTGCGCAGAGGGAGGAGGCTCCAGGCCCGGGCGCCCCGCCGGCCCAGCTTCAAGTAAGCAGGTGTGTGTCCTCGGGGTGGAGGGCAGGGGGCGCGACCTCCGCCTCGCGTCGAGGTTTCCATCCCCGTCTCTCTGCATTGCCCGTCAGCGCAGACTCTGGACCCTCCGTTTCCCTAGGCTGGGGGCTGCAGGGGAAACTGTGTCCCCGGTGAGCTGAGCGTCAGCGTCTCTGCAGCTGGTCCCGCGCACACACCCACTCACGGGCTTCACCATCCGGACCCCCTTGAGGTGATCGGAGGGAGGGATGGGCAGGCCTGCTGTGTGTCTTGGGGGGTGTTGCTGTACCTCTCTGGGCGTCAGTTTCCCTCTCTGGAAAGAGGGGGTTTGGATTAAAGGAAGGAGAAAGGCCCCTTTGGGCCTGACTTCCCCCACCTGTGCCTCCCTCCCCTGAAATGCAGCCCACTCAATAAGACCAGCCCCCAGGAGGCTACACGATGCAACCTGGGGGTGACAGGTAGGCAGAAGAGCTTCGTGGAAGAAGCTGCACTGTGTGGGATGGCAGGACTTAGAAAAGGTGCTCTAGGCAGGGCGACTGCACGTGCAAAGGCCTGAGAGAAGAGAGCCTCCAGCTTCTGAGTGAGTCGTGGTGTACATGGAGGAGTCAGAGCTTATCCTGAGGGCACTGGGGAGCCATGGAAGGTGTTTGAGCATGGGAGAAATGGGATCTAGCTTGTGACATTTAAAACTCCCTCTGGCTGTGCACAGGGGATTGTGGGAGGCTGGGAAGAGGCTGATCAGAATGTCCTGACAGGGGTGTCAGGAGCTGGGGGAGGCACGATCCCTCTGGGCAGAGCTTGGAGGAACTAACTCAGTCTGATGAGGACGCAGAAGTGACCACCAAATGTGGGGAGAAGGAAGGTGTCTGAGACTTGGCTTGGGTCAGCTGAGAAGAGCCAGGTGGGGAGGCCTGGGTTTGGGGAGCAGGAGGCAGACGTGTGTTACTTTGCACTTCATCTGGTCCTTCCACCTGGCTGGGTATGGGATGGTGACCTCAGCTAGAACATGGGGCTTGAGCCAGACCCCAGGGTCTCCCTGCATGTAGCTCCCGACCCCAGACCGGATCCCCGGTGGAGACCTGAACAGCTTTGGACATCGTCGGATCAGGGTGGGAGGTGACGGCTGCCAGCCTCTGCCATCTGACTTCCAGTCTCTGTGCCCCTCCCACCCTGCCCTTGGGCACTCCTGCCCTGCAGGTTCCTCAGAGGGGCAACCCAAGGCCAGAGAGGGGCGGGTCTTGTCGGGCCTCCAGCCTGGACTTCCCACCCCCTCTGGGGCAGCGTCTGGGAGCCAGACCTCGGTTCCTAGGGCCTCATTTCTCCCTCTGGGAACAGCCACATGGTGGCCCCTGAGACTCAGACCAGAAAGGAGCCAGATGACATGGAAAGCCACACACTGGGTCCCCTGAGCAGGCCGGGACAGCCTGACCCTATCCTCCCACCTGGGACTGAGGCCCCACCTCTACTCCTGTCCCAGCCGTGCCCCTAGTGACATCTGGGTGGGAGGGGAGAGGATGAGGGGGCACCTGGGGGTCAGAGAATGAATGACAGGTGAATATATGTGTGTTGCCAGGTGGAGGAGGGAGGGGAGAAACAGGCAGGCCGGACAGGGCCGCTGTGAGGAGGGGGCTCAGGCTGGCAGGGGGAGGTGGCAGAGGGATGGGCTGCCATTGGTACGTCTGAGACAAAGGCGGAGGGAGGAGGCGAGCGCTGATGGGAAAGGAACAAAGAGGGAAGGGGGGCGTGAGGAGGGGCTCCGGCAGGAGGGCCGAGCCGAGGGAGGAGGCACCGGCCAGCTGGACAGAGGGAGGAGGCCAGGCTGGAGCCAGAAGACGGCCAGAGGCACAAAGAAGCTAGCGGCACTGGCAGAGCCAAGGGATGGGGCAGGGGCTGCCGGGGCCAGCAGGGAGCAGCTGAAGGCTGCGCAGGGGGTGCGGGCCACACAGGTAGCCACCCTGAGCCCAGCCACTGATGGAGGGGGCATGGGGCTGCTGCGGTGATGGTGGTGGGCTTGGGTCCATCTGTCCTGCCGTTTCTGCACATCTTAGGTGTCACCCATTGGCATCATGGTGTCTTTATTGTCCGTCAGCAGGGACAGCTGGTGGTCTGTCCGCCCCGCGTTGTCTGACTGTCAGCCTCTGGGCAGGCTGTGCTTTTGTGGGGGAGGGTCCTGTCTGTCTGTCTGTCGCCCTCTCTGGCTGTGAGCCTGGGGGTGCTGGGCTGGCCAGTTGGCTCGCTGGGTTAGGCTGTCCCAGCTGTCTGTGTGTTTGTCCGGCTGTCAGGATGTGTCCTGGGGGCTGGGAAGGAGAGGCCGTCCCATCGTCTGTCGGTCGACTGGTCAGTTGGAGGTTCAGCTGTCTGTACGTCTGTCTGCTGGCCCCTCTGTCTCCCGTTGGGGTCACCTCTCACTCCACCTGCCCCTCTGCGCCCGGGATTCCCTGGCCAGCACCACGTGGGCCTGTACTTGTCCACACCAGTGACTCCTGCCTGAGACCCCCAAACTAGGATCAGGCAGGAGGGCTGGGGCTTAGGTCAGGGGCTGTCCGGAAGGCATCACCGTGCCCTCCCCAGACCCTCAGCTGAACCCTCTGACCCTGTGATCCCAGACGCTGCAGGAGCTGAAGATGGCGAGCTCCGTGGCACCCTACGAGCAGCTGGTGCGGCAGGTGGAGGCCTTGAAGGCTGAGAACAGTCACCTGAGGCAGGAGCTACGGGACAACTCCAGCCACCTGTCCAAGCTGGAGACAGAGACGTCAGGCATGAAGGTGGGGGCCTACATGGAGGAGGTGGGCTAGGGTCCCAGGGGGTGGCCCCCGGCAGCCCAGTGCAGTGGCCGATGCCTCCCTGCCCTCTTTCCTGCCCCTGCAGGAGGTCCTGAAGCACCTACAGGGAAAACTGGAGCAGGAGGCCCGAGTGCTGGTGTCCTCGGGGCAGACGGAGGTGCTGGAGCAGTTGAAGGGTGAGCAGTGGGGCCACCCGCAGAGGGAGCGGGAGAGGCTGGGGGAAAAGGCAGACAGGACCTCTGACCTCCGCCCTCTCCCCGCCCATCCAGCCCTGCAGATGGACATCACCAGCCTGTACAACCTCAAGTTCCAGCCGCCCGCCCTGGGCCCGGAACCTGCCTCCCGGACCCCCGAGGGCAGCCCGGTACACGGCTCCGGGCCTTCCAAGGACAGCTTTGGGGAGCTGAGCCGGGCCACCATCCGGCTGCTGGAGGAACTGGACCGGGAACGGTGAGCGGGCGTGGGAACCGAGCCTCGGGCAGCTGGTGACTGACTCCATCCCCAGCGGGCTCTGCCCTCTAATTCACCCACCCGCATATGTCTCTGCCCACACCTCACATGCCCCACCCACTTGCATATGGCACCGCCCACCGAACAAACCCCACCCACCTCGAAGCTTCTTCCCCACGTGGCCTCCCTCCCCTTCTCCAACCCGGCTGACCTTCTCCAGCCCGGCTGACCTCAGCGGGAGTGCAGAGAGGATGGGGGACGTTCCTGGCTGAGGGAAGGTCTCCTTGGAGACGTCCCCAGGGGTCTGCGACACGCAGGCATTGCCATGGACTGGGCTGTGTCCGGTGCCAGGGCTCAGCCAGGCCTGGAGCCAGAGGGGCTCAAAGCAGTCTTTGTAAAGACAGAGTTGTGGCCCGAGAAACATGGGCTCAGGGCCAGCAGAGGGAGGCAGGGTCCGGGCACCGTGTGCAGCTGGGAGGGGTCGTGTGTGGTCAGATGGGGCCATTGAAGAGCAGCATGGAGTTGTCTGTACTCTGCTGTGGGACCTCACTCAGCTCCCCTAAACCCTCCCAGCCTAAGACTCCTGCCCTGTAAAATGGGAATGGCCGTGTCTCCCGTGGGGTTAAGGGAACTCTGTGTTGCACCTGCTGCTCTTTGAGCCTGAAGCTACCTTGTAAGCTGGAGGGAGATTAGCACTTATCTGAGACGTATAAGAGGCAGAACAGCCTCCCTCAGTCTCTCTTCAAGCAGGAGAATTTCCAAAGAAACTGCTTTCTCTCTCTCTTTTTTTGTTTTTGTTTAATACGTATAGTTTGAGACAGGGTCTCACTCTGTCGTCCAGGCTGGAGTGCAGTGGTATGATCATGGCTCAGTGCAGCCTGGACCTCCCGGGTTCAGGTGATTCTCCCACCTCAGCCTCCCATGTCAGGGAGAAGCTGGGACCACAGGTGCGAACCATCATGCCTGGCTAAGTTTTTGTACTTTTTTTTTTTTTTTTTCCCCCGAGACGGAGTCTCTCTTTGTTGCCCAGGCTGGAGTGCAGTGGCGCGATCTCAGCTCGCAGAAACCTCTGCCTTCCAGGTTCAAGCGATTCTCCTGCCTCACCCTCCCAAGTAGCTGAGATTACAGGCACGTGCCACCACGCCCGGCTAAGTTTGTATTTTTAGTAGAGACGGGTTTCACCATGTTGGTCAGGCTGGTCTCAATCTCCTGACCTTGTGATCTGCCCGCCTCCCAAAGTGCTGGGATTACAGGCGTGAGCCACCGCACCCAGCCAATTTTTTGTACTTTTTGTAGAGATGGGAGTTTTACTATATTGCCCAGGCTGGTCCTGACCTCCTAGGCTTAAGCAAGCAATTTGCCCGCATCCACCTCCCAAAGTGTTGGGATTACAGGCCTGATCCGTGAGCCACCACTCCCGGTCTTTATTTATTTATTTGTTTGTTTATTGAGATATGGTCTCGCTGTCACCCAGGCTGGTGTGTGGTGGTGCAATCACGGCTCACTACAGTCTCAAGTGATCCTCCCGCCTCAGCCTCCTGAGTAGCTGGGACTAAAGGCACGAGTCACCACGACCGGCTATTTATTATTTTTTTTTGAGACAAAGTTTCCTCCTTGTTGCCCAGGCTGGAGTGCAATGGTGCGATCTCAGCTCACCGAAACCTCTGCCTCCCAGGTTCAAGGGATTCTCCTGCCTCACCCTCCCAAGTAACTGAGATTACAGGCATATGCCACCATGCCCAGCTAATTTTGTATTTTTAGTAGAGACGGGGCTTCTCCATGTTGGTCAGGCTGGTCTTGAACTCCTGACCTCAGGTGATTCTCCCGCCTCAGTCTCCCAAAGTGTTGCGATTACAGGCGTGAGCCAACGGGCCCGGCCGACCGACTATTTTTTTATTTTTTATTTTTATTTTTTCCTTTTTAGAGAGGGAGTCTCGCTATGTTGCCCAGACTGTTTTCTCCCGTTTAATTTTTTGCATCCCCCAATTAATTTCAGTACCCACCCCCCTTACCTTAGCGCGGGGAGCGCCACGGGAGACATTGCCATGTTGCCTGTTAAACTTGGCATACAGGGCCAGGCGCGGTGGCTCACGCCTGTAATCCCAGCACTTTGGGAGGCCGAGGCGGGTGGATCACGAGGTCAGGAGATCGAGACCATCCTGGCTAACAAGATGAAACCCCGTCTCTACTAAAAACAAAATACAAAAATTAGCCGGGCATGCTGGCAGGCGCCTGTAGTCCCAGCTATTCGGGAGGCTGAGGCAGGAGAATGGCGTAAACCCGGGAGGCGGAGCTTGCAGTGAGCCGAGATCGCGCCACTGCACTCCAGCCTGGGCGACAGAGCGAGACTCCGTCTCAAAAAAACAAAACAAAACAAAACAAAAAACCAAAAAAAAACTTGGCATACAGTAAGCGCCAACAGGTGAGTACAGATATCAAAATAAACACATATACATGGCTCCGCCCCCACTGACTTGCTCCCCCAGGTGTTTGCTGCTGAATGAGATTGAGAAGGAGGAGAAGGAGAAGCTCTGGTACTACTCTCAGCTGCAGGGCCTGTCCAAGCGCCTGGACGAGCTGCCGCACGTGGAGACGGTGAGCGGGCCGGGGAGAGAGGGGGCAGCACGCCTGCCCACCTAGGTTGCAGGAAGCGGCGTGGGGAGGAACGGGGCGTGGCCCAGGCGCCCCTCACCGTGGCCCGCCCGCCTGCCTTTCCCAGCAGTTCTCGATGCAGATGGACTTGATCCGGCAGCAACTTGAGTTCGAGGCCCAGCACATCCGCTCGCTGATGGAGGAGCGCTTCGGCACCTCGGACGAGATGGTGCAGCGGGCACAGGTGCGGTGGTGGGCGGGGTGGGGCGGTGCGGTGGTAGGTGGGGCCCTGTGCCAGTGGGCAAATCAGAGTGCAGAGATTTATTATGGGCGGGGTCTGGGGTACTGGGAGGTGTCTCATGCCTCCTGGGTTGGCGGGTTGGGGGGGGGGTTCTGGTTCAGGAGGCGGAGCCAGAGAAGCTGGAGGTGTTGGTGGGTGGAGTCGGAGGAGTCTCAGAGCAGAGCCTGAGCACAAGGGTGGTGGGGTAGGACAGTGGAAGGTGGCGTGGCCTGTGGGCAAGGCCAGATCAGTGGGTGGGTGGGGCCTAGAAGGATGAGGTCTAGGTTCTGGGTGGAGCCCAAATGGGAAGTGGGAGGAGTCAGAGCCTGGGATGGGCTAGATAAGGGCAGGGACTAGAAGGATAAGGTGGGGTTAAGACAGTGGGTGGGGTCATATCTTAGGAGGCAGGGCTTAGGGAGCAGGCAGGGCTGGATCAGGGAGAAGACAGAGTCAGAGCCCAGGGGCGAAGTCATCCCAGGAAGGGGTGGGGTCAGGGCCTGGGGCGGGGTCACCTCAGGAAGAATCAGGGTCAGAGCCCGGGGTGGGGTTTTCCCAGGGTGGGGTCATCCCAGGGAGAAGGCGGGGTCGGAGCCGGGGGCGGGGTCAGCCCCAGCACTCGCCCTCCTGTTGTCCTGAGCAGATCCGCGCCTCGCGCCTGGAGCAGATTGACAAGGAGCTGCTGGAGGCACAAGACCGAGTGCAGCAGACAGAGCCCCAGGTACCGAATGGGGCAGAGCCAGGGCCCAGGGGTGGTGTCGGCCCAGGCAGAAGGGGGCTCCTAGAGTCCTGCTCGCCCCCACCCACATCATCATGGGCGAGCAGGCTGGGTGCTTTTTGGGGTGCTCTGGGACTGTTTCCCCCACCCTGGTCCTCTCCCTGCAGGCCTTGCTGGCGGTGAAGTCTGTGCCGGTGGACGAGGACCCGGAGACAGAGGTCCCCACACACCCTGAGGATGGCACCCCTCAACCGGGCAACAGCAAGGTGAGGGGGAGGGCGGAACGGGGGCAGGCGCAGCTGTCTGGGCTGGGAGGGGGATCAGGTCTGCATCCTTGCCAGATGTGGTGCCCTCCCAGGCCTCCATGCAGCACCCCATTGGGTGTAGGAAGGCCCCCCCTGGCGTGCAGCTTACAGAGAAGCTGGGGACCTGGCGAAGTGGATGGGGAAACACATCCCGTAGCGGGGGGCTGAGTGGGGCACCATAGATGTCCCTGTGGAGTCCCTTGGCTGAGTGCTGCCACCCTAGGAATGCCAGGTGAGGGGGGCCAGCCTCCCCGAAGCACGTGTGCAGCCTCCTGGCACCACCACCCCCCATCCGTCCCCAGTTGTGCGTGGGGTCACAGGGCTCCCACCGGGTTTCCAGGTGTGCAGGGGCAGGTGAGGGACCCCACCCTGACCCTGTCCTCCCCCTAGGTGGAGGTGGTCTTCTGGCTGTTGTCCATGTTGGCGACGCGCGACCAGGAGGATACAGCACGCACGCTACTGGCCATGTCAAGCTCGCCCGAGAGCTGCGTGGCCATGCGCCGCTCGGGCTGTCTGCCACTGCTGCTGCAAATCCTCCACGGCACTGAGGCCGCGGCCGGGGGTCGCGCCGGGGCCCCAGGAGCACCGGGCGCCAAAGACGCACGCATGCGCGCCAACGCGGCGCTGCACAACATCGTCTTCTCGCAGCCGGACCAGGGCCTGGCGCGCAAGGAGATGCGCGTCCTGCACGTGCTGGAGCAGATCCGTGCCTACTGCGAGACCTGCTGGGACTGGCTGCAGGCCCGAGACGGCGCGCCCGAGGGAGGCGGCGCCAGCGGCGGTGAGTGCCTGGCCTGGTGGGCCCCCTCTGCGCAATTAACGTGCAGCTAGGGCTTCCCGGGGGGTGGGCGACTGAGGACCTCCAGCCTTTGCTGCGTGCCTTCTGGAGTTGGAGGCTGCAGTACCAGGCCGAGGCCTGTGGGGGCCTTTGACGTTGGGAGAAGACCCGCCCATGATTGTACCTGCACAGAGTAAACGCTCCCTAAGTCGTTGAATCATGGATGGATCGTGGGTAGCTCTCGAAAGTTGGGTGCAGACTTGGAGATTCTTTTTTTGCAGTTGATCGCAAAGTTAATATGGAGGCCGGGGGCTGGGACTCACACCTGTGATCCCAGCACTTTGGGAGCCTGAAGCAGGAGAATTGCTTGAGCCCAGGAATTTGGGGCTGCAGTGAGCCGAGATCATGCTACTGCACTCCAGTCTGGGCAACAGAGCGAGACCTTGTCTCCTAAGTTTTATTAAAAGGACAGCAGCACAGCTAAAAGGTGTGGTGCTCCAGAAACTACCTCACCTCCCTTCCCAAGGCTGAGGGAGGGAGGCCACCCCGTCATCCCATCTTAGAGAGGCTGGGAAACGAAGCCCCAGCTTTGCAGCCATTTGTAAAGTTCCTGGGATCCTTCAGGCCTAGGGGGTGGGGCGGGGGGAACCTTCCGGAGTCAGCTGGGACATTTCCTGGGAATGGGGGCTCTGATCTGGTCTCTGTGCCCACAGCCCCGGTCCCTATCGAGCCGCAGATCTGCCAGGCCACCTGTGCGGTTATGAAGCTGTCCTTTGACGAGGAGTACCGCCGTGCCATGAACGAGCTGGGTGAGTGTCCCAGCTCCTCTGGGGAGCTGTCCTCCAGCCCCTGAACAGCTCCTCAGCTGCTAAAGGGACAGAGGCTGGGTCATCTGAGCTTGTGTGGTCAGGATGGGGATTGGAGCCCTATGTGGCGGCTTACGTTTGAGGACATTGCAACATCTTCTCTTTGTCAATATCAAAGTAATTGAGGCCGGGTGAGGCTGCTCATACCTGGGAGGCTGAGGCGGGAGGATCACTTTAGCCCAGGAGTTCGAGACCAGGCTGGGCAACAATCATGAGACCCCCATCACTACAAATAAATAAAAAATTAGTCCCAGCTGCTGGGGAGGCTGAGGTGGGAGGATCTTTTGAGCCCAGGAGGTCAAAGGTGCAATGAGCTATGATCACGCCACCACACTCCAGAGTGGGCAACCGAGCCAGACCCTGTCTCAAAAAGAAAAGTCTTGCTGTAACATTTTTATTTTTTATTTAATTAATTTATTTTTTGAGACAGCCTCACTCTTGCCCAGGCTGGAGTGCAGTGGTACAATCTCAGCTCACTGCCACCTCCACCTCCCAAGGAGCTGGGATTACAGGCGCCCGCCACCACGCCTGATTTTTGTAGTTTTAGTAGAGATGGGGTTTCACCACGTTGGTCAGGCTGGTCTCAAACTCCTGACCTCAAGTGATCTGCCCCCACTCGGCCTCCCAAAGTGCTGGAATTCCAGGTGGAACAACCCACCACACCCGGCCAAAGCCTGGCTCCTTTCTGAGGCCGCGTGACGTCCCATCGTGTGGCTGGGGCACCCTGCGCTGACCCACCTGTCCTGCTCTGGCTGCTCCCCACTCCTGGCTCTGGGCACCATGCTGTGGTGAACCTGGATGTATGTGTTTCGGTCTGGAAGTTTTCTGAGACATGTCCCTAACTCACTTCCCCAAAGGACGTCTCCACTGACCCACCCCTGCCCTGAGAAGTCAGATTTGCCTCTGTTGTCTTTGAAGGGGGAGAAAAATGTTTTGGTGACAAGTCGTCTCCCTCTGACTCCCAGGCACCATCTCCCCGTTGATTCCCCCTTTTGGAATGGGAGAGCTGGGCGAGTAAAGAGGGTGGGTGTGACCGTCACCCATCACCACAGCCGTGTCTGTGCTGGGGACGCTGCTCTCCATCTGATGGTCCTGGAGTGGATTATTAGAGGACGCAGGGGCCCTTCCCCGAGGCACCTACCAAACAGGGCAAGGAAGAGCATTCCAGGCTGAGGGAACAGCAGGTGCAGAGGCCCAGCGGCTGGAGGAAGTGTGAGCCAGGGCCGAGGGCTGACAGGAGGCAGGGGTGGCAGTCACAGGGCACTGGGGGTACCCCTGTGGGTCTGGCAGCAGGGTGAGGCCCTGCCGGCTCCTGGAGGAGGTCTCAGACTTGAGCCTGGAAGGGGGACTTGAGGAGGACACATCTGGGGGGTAGGGAGGGCGTCTGGGCAAGGGAGCAAGGTGGAGCAAGGGAGCGGGCAGGGCCGTCCCTGCCAACCTTGTCGGGTCCCCACAGGTGGGCTGCAGGCCGTGGCAGAGCTGCTGCAGGTTGACTATGAGATGCACAAGATGACCCGGGACCCGCTGAACCTGGCGCTGCGCCGCTACGCGGGCATGACCCTCACCAACCTCACCTTTGGGGATGTTGCCAACAAGGTGCCCAGGGGCAGTGGGCGGGCGGGACTGGCACTCCCCTCATCCGGTCTTCCAGGGACTGTCTGAGCCTCCTTCCAACTCATCCCAGCCTTGAAACAGCCCTGAGAGCTGGGGCCACTTGTCCCCAACTTGCAGACAGGTAGACTGAGGCCCAGAGAGTGAGATGTTGGGGGACGGGAGCCCGTGCTGGACCTCCACCCAGCGGCGTCCTCACACCCGCCCTGATGCTGCCTCTGCAGAAAATGGCCCTCATTGTAGGGGGGGCCCCGAGGCTGGGTGTCTGCCCGTCTGGGCCTCAGTTTCCCGACCTGAGCATGGGGTAACCCTCCCATGGTGGTCAGGATCAGCAGGGGTTCGGGTTTGCAGCTGCAGCACAGACGGGGCTGGGAGGTGAGGGGCGCCGTCTCCCTCCTGCCCCACCCCGTGACCCTGGCTGCATCACCCCCAACAGGCCACCCTGTGTGCGCGCCGGGGCTGCATGGAGGCCATCGTGGCCCAGCTGGCCTCGGACAGTGAGGAGCTCCACCAGGTACGGGACAGGGTGCTGGGGACAGCCTTCCAGGGCATCCCTGACAGGCAGAGGCCCCTCCCCAGGGGTGTGGTGGGCTGGCGGGGGGGTCCCGTCCCACTCTGCAGCCTCACACTTGCTGGGGGGTTTGGGGGGTCTAGACCCTAGTCCCACCACACCTGCCCCTCACCCCACGCAGGTGGTGTCCAGCATCCTTCGGAACTTGTCCTGGAGGGCCGACATCAACAGCAAGAAGGTGCTGAGGGAGGCGGGCAGCGTGACAGCCCTGGTGCAGTGTGTCCTGCGGGCCACCAAGGTGGGCACCCGGCGGGCGGCAGGAATGGTTCTTCAGTCACTGGAAGGAGACGCTGGCGGCAGCGGGCGAGCTCTCTGACTTGGGAAGAAATCAAGTTGTTAGTGCTTAGCAGGTGGTCCAGCCTCAGGCCGGCTGGGGTTCACTCCTCATGTCACTGCTCTTTGAAAGCAAGTGTGGGCCAGGCACGGTGGCTCACCTGAGGTCAGGAGTTCGAGCCCAGTCTGGCCAACA